CTTACCCAGAGAAAAGAGATTCCTGGAATTCTCCACCATGACTTCTCTGTAGAGCTCTTTTTGGTCAGCATCCAGTTGAGACCACTCCTCCTCGGAGAAATAAACAGCCACTTCCTCAAAAGAAGCAATATCCTGAAAAAGGACACAAGGTTCCTGATTAACAGATAATCCCAAGAAAAATCGGATAATTTTCCTCCAACAATTCTAGGAAAGAGATCCATTGAAAAAAAAAATGATGAGAATCTTCTGCAGAATTAAGAATAAGATCACATCACTTTTGGTTAATGGTACAACCAAATCACGTTTGATCAAGCTGGAAGTGTTTGGAATGCCTTACACTGTAAATTAATTAAAATATTCTTGGTCAATTGATAGTTAGGTCTTAAATCCATTACCTGTCAGTGTCTCCCATTCTTCCTAGGATGGGCAGAGCAAAATACTGGCAAATCCCACCTGACATGTTTTCCAATGGCTTACTTTATCCACTGAAAGAGAAACGTACCCAGACTCCAAACCTTCATGAAGGAATTGGAAGAACTTGTAACAGAATTCTATATGTCTATAGAGATTCTCAATCATCAGGTCACGGTTGTCCCAAAGATTTAAAAGACAAAAAAGGATATGTTTTTTGTAATGGTGGACCCCCATGAGGTCAATCACAGCCGTGAGTCGGCCCTGAATGAAATTGAGTTTGACACCCTTGCCGAGGGGAGGCTAAGCTGAGTGTGAATGTTCAATGACCTGATGTCAAATTCATATTGCTTAGAAAAAGCAATTTTATACATTGAACTTTAGAACAAAATAAAATCCATTGAAGATTTACAGACCTTTTCCGATGTTTGTCCTCCTTACCTGAAGTAGCGGTTCAGCTAATACTTCAGCTCCAGCACAAAGAGGTGATTCTAAACAGACCAAGGACAGCTTTCTACTCTCTATGAGAAAGAGAAAAATAGTGGAAGCAGATTTGTTAAAGAGAGACAATCCAATAAAGTAGAGAAAAAGGACCAGCTGAAATCTCACCTCACACAGAAAAAGCTTTTCATACCTTGCGTAGCGTCTTGACTTTGATCTTCCCGGAAGTTCTCCCTGAAGAGCAAGTCTTGAGAAGGTCTGAATGAATCTTTCCTCCCCTTGGGATACTCAGTCACAGCTTCCCTGCATTTCTGGACATGGTGTGATAGGAGAAACAAAGGAAGAGCATAGAGATATAAATGAATTATTATATTGCACCTTCCAACTAGCAACCCTCAATATCCATTGCTGAAAGTAGAAACAGAATGAACAAATTGCCCCAAATACACCCTCTGGAAGAATAGAACAAATTCCCTTAGGAGTTAATAATCCCAGAAAATTCTGCCAGAGAAGAACTGAGAAACGCACACAGATCCACTTTACAGCTGCCATGATTACATTCTCCCACCTGCAACTCTTCTTGCATGTTT